GCTTATTTTCTAAAAGTCACGACTGTGCTGAACACCAATCACAAATTTCAATTTACACGTCTACCGAAATCGTCCCTCTCTCACACAAGGAGGTAGAAAGGGATGGATTACAATTTCCAACAACTTTCGTCTATAATCCAAGAATCAGGACAGATAGAATTCAATTTCGAAATTACGTTGTGAGTTTCTTACATGCTACCAATGTGAATGGTGAAAATTGGTTGCACCTATGATAGCGTAATAGAAACAAGTACATTTAGAAGTGTGAAATACTGCTGGCCAGTATGAAAAGTTAAAAAAAAATTAGAATAATATGACAGAGCAATAGTAACTCTGAATTAGGCTCATAATTTTTTTAATTTATTTATACATATACAATCAAATCTGACAACTTTACTAATATAAGTTATCTTTGCAATCAGGGGTGTACAGGTACAAAATTACGATTAACACGGAAAACATAACGTTTTTCGAGATATACAATTATTTGGATGAAAATACAATAACGTAAAAAGTAGAAAGCTCTCCGTCAGCCGCCGTACTCAGCAGACCTTGTGCCTACAGATTCCTAGTTTTCCCAGAATTTGTACAACTTTTTGACAGGAAAAAATTCAATACTTTTACAATTCAAAGAACAGTGTCATTTTTAATGATTATGAATGTTTTGCTATTGTGATAAAACAATATATAGATTGATTACAATTTTTTAACCTGAACGTAAAAAAATGGTGGTGATGACTAATATAAAAACTTGTTAAAATTATTGTGACATTTTTTATTTATTTATACTATATTTCATTCAAGCTTATTATTGCACTAATTTGATTTTTAATTTTAGAGGAGTGCATTTTCTGTTTGATATATTTTAGATTTTTGCATAAGAAGTTATTGTGAAAAGATTTGAATAAAAAAATTAAGTAAAGTATGTAATGAAAGATTTTGACAACTCTGACACATTTTTTCAAGTTTATATGAAAAATTGAAAATGGGAGGTCAACTTGGCCACATGCGTAAACTTTGCTATTTTCAACACAATTAAAGGAGCAAATCATAACTCTTGTACATATTATGAACTAAGCTTACCTTAAAGTCAAATCCTATTATTTTATAAACCCTGATGGCAAATTTGCCACAAAGTGACGTTAACTTTACCATTTTCTATTTTTGAATATTAAATGTTAGTATCTGTTCAAATCACTAATAAACACCAAACGTATGAACAATATAGAGTTACTTTTAACCATAGAAATATAAAAAACTTCTTTCTTATATCTATGCTTTTAACATTGTCGTCCGGCTTGAGAGTACCTTTTATGTTGGAAAATTGGCCCTAAACTTTTAAGTCCTTCCAAAAATGGCAAAGATGCCAGGTTTCACGGTACGCAATAACTGCTTCCACCGCAAAGGAATTTATTTTAAGTTATTACTGCGCGTACGTATTTTAATATTGTATAATATTATGACAATCATACACAAATAATATTAATATTTTATTAAACTGATTAAAGTGTACTAAAATATTTCTTAATCATTAATTCTTATTAGAAGTATAGTTGTAGCACGAATGGGTCGGCGCGACCGGGGAGGGATTACGCTCTCACAGAATACCAGCGTCAAATAGCAGCTTAATGTATAATAATAGAAGCTACTGTGTTTCGTATGGCGAGTGTAGAGAACCGGAGACCCTTTTTACTGGAAACGAGGCATTTCATCTTAGTCCTCACGGGTGACAACGCATCTGCATCTTGATTCGTAATCGACGACAGATGTAGATGTCTATGGGCCACAGCAACCACTTACCATCAGGTGGACTGTGTGCTCGTTTGTCACCCTATCCTATATAAAAATAAATCTGTTCCATTATTATGTATTTCATTCCCTATGCTCAAAATAATTTGCATCGTCTATCGCAGTGTGTCCACACGGTGAATCCGCATTTCTAACGTAGCTTGTGAAATAATATGGCCATATCATCGACTCCTAGTTATTTGCTCTCGAGTCGTGTGAGAAAAACGTTAGCGAACGATCAGACCTGTAATTTGGATCCAATCGGAATGTCAAGCGCAAGAAGCGGTCAACGAGTTTTATAGAACGCCTGTGTTTGCTCTGTCGATTGCAGTGTACTCGATTCCTCTTTATACAACATATATTGAAACATGAAACCCCTTAGGGGTTTAAATTTAAGAGATTTCGTAACAATTCTAAACACTTTAAAATATAATTAATTCAATTCGATCACATTTATACGCAGTTTTATCTCAGCTCAGGGGCATTCCATCATAATACTTGTAGTATTTTCCTATGAGACCGTACTTGCAACTTTCTTTGCTTGTAGGTGTTCATGGATTGCGTTAGTTAATTACTTTCATACTTTACCACATTAATGATTAATAACTGACAAACATATTGTAAGTAGTTTTTATATCTATGAAATAATGCCTAATTATCTGCTACCATCAAACAATAAAGAGGAATTGTTTTATACCTGTGATCAATTGATGATCTATATTTAGCTCTATATTTGTTTATTTTAACTGACCTAAAAATAAGTTAAGTGTTATCAACTCAATTGTATTTAATATGCATCCTATCAAGGGATATCTATATCATAGTTCTAATTATTATGTTAAGAAAACTGCATTGAGGGTGTAATATTCAAATGGCGTGAAGTAGTGATGTAACGGATATTCGCATTCGCATTCGCATTCGCGAATATCCGCATATTTTTCAATATTCGCATTCGCATTCGCAAAAATTATGCTAATATTTAGCGAATGTTTTCAATAATCAAAAAGGAAATTATTATATGCATGCATATGAAATAATAATACAATAGATAACACTTAGATATTTTTATTAAATCATACTTCTACATTCTAAATTAAAGTCTCATTTATGAAAAAAGGAACTTCAGAGATCTGATCAAATCTAACATTAATCAGCCTTGTTACAACTATGTAAGGTTTGCATTTATTTAGTAGTATATTATTACTTTACTACCATTTTTAAATAAAGTTTACAGTTTCTATTTACTAAAAAACTAAACAATTACTTGAAACAAAATTATTAAACTGTAAATATCTAATGTATGAAGAATTTATAACCTTTGGCTTTAAATGTATATTTTTTCATTCCACTTTATATATCTGAGGAATTAAATATATTTATAATGAATGAAATATAAACTTTAAAAACAAAACAACGAATACTTAACTATTTGTAAATAAACCTTTTTCAAAAACAAAATTATAATTATTTTTATTTTAAACTAAAGTAAACTTCTAATACTTGTTATGTTAACATTTGGTTTTTGGTTTCAATTGCAAGTTATTTATCTATGTATAAAAATAACGATATATAAGTAAGTAAGAAGGTACACAAAATATAGTTTTTCTAATAACATGTTGACTATTTAATTATTAAATTTGTTGTACGAGGGTGGATTGAAAAGTACTCGGCCTAACCAAGAAAATAAACACATACTAAATCAGTTATATTTTTATTTTTCTACATAATCACCATCAAGTTCAAAACACTTTTGCCACCTCCCCTTCCAAGCATTTAGACCGTTGAAAAAAAATGATTCTTCCTTAGAGTCAAAATATGCGTCTACAGCTGCTTTGACCTCGTCGTTTGTCGAAAATCTTTGACCTCCCAAGTGCTTTTTTAGGTTAGGGAACAGAAAGAAGTCTGAAGGTGCCAGATCAGGTGAATACGGCGGATGCGGTAACAGTTCAAAGCCACAGTTGTGAATTTCAGCCATTGACTGTTCTGACGTGTGAACACAGGCGTTATCTTGATGAAACAGGACTTTTCTTCTGAGCATTCCTCGACGTTTTTCTTTTATTTCCTCTCGTAAACGACGTAGTAAGGTGCAGTAGTAATCAGAGTTTATAGTCTGACCCCTTTCAAGATAATCAATCATAATCACACCTGTCGAGTCCCAGAATACTGAAGCCATCACCTTATTTGCCGACAAAATCGACTTAGCCTTTTTAGGGTGTGGTGAACCAGGTCTATTCCACTGTTTTGATTGTTGTTTTGTTTCCGGTGTATAGTAATGAACCCATGTTTCGTCCATAGTAACAAAACGATTCAAAAAATCATCTGCATCGGCTTCAAATAACTCCAAACAGTCGCGTGAAATAGTCAATCGCGTCCTTTTTTGTTCAACTGAAAGCAGTCGCGGAACCCACCTCGCAGACACCTTGTGGAAACCCAACTCGTTGACAATGATGTTTTGAGTTCATTCATAAGAGATGCCTATAATCTCGGCTATCTCTCTAGTTTTTAATCTGCGGTCTCCCATTATTAAATCAAGTACTTTTTTAATATTTTCGTCAGTAGTTGACGTCGAAGGCCTTCCAGAGCGGGGTTCATCTTTCACACTCTCTCTACCACGCTTAAATTCTGCTATCCATTTTTTGACGGATGAATATGACAGAGCACAATCGCCTAATGTACTGACCATGTCATCATGGATGGCTTTTGATGATAGCCCCTTCTTATGGAGGTACTTAATGACGGCACGCTGCTCGATTTGCTCCATTCGCGAAAATTATGTCCGATTACTTTGTTAATAAATTTATAAAATCACAACTAATTATCGCACACGTTTCGAACTTCACACAATGAACTAGTCTGAACCGAACTAAATAATGTGAGTAGATTTGATTTTTAGAATTGAATGGATCTGTGTTAGGCCGAGTACTTTTCAATCCACCCTCGTAATTTTTAATTCTTAATAATTAAATTGAAACAATGGAATGTTAAATTTTAAAAATAAAAGTTTGGAGGCTCTTTCTCCGTGCAGCCTGTTTCGGTGAGGTGTGTAAAGTAGTCCAACTCCACTGAAAACTCTTTCACTGGGGACACTTGTGAACGGAGTTACCAAATATTCTTTGGCTACTGGAGAAAGAATGCCATATTTGTTGCTATTTACTTTCCACCAAAGAAGTGGGTCTTCTTCATTTTCAATACGTTTATCCAAAACATATTCATTAATATTTTTTTATTAATACTTCTAATGGATTTGGAATATCATTATCTAGTTCTTCCTCGCTTTCACTTGAGTCCATCATCATTTTCATAGTTTCTTTTAATGTCACAGATTTTTCTAAAAGACTAGTACTGGAGCTCAAGTTTTCATTATCCTGATTCCTTATTTTAGGACGCTTTGGCTTTGAACATGACGGCAAACTTAAGTCCTCATCTCCAAGTAAATCTAAAATATTTTTCATGACTTGATCTTTTGTTGAAGGGTTTTTGAAGAATTTCGTTTTGTATCTAGGATCAATAAACGTTGCTGTAGCAAATAATATGTCTTTTTCTAAGTGAGAAAATCTGTGTCTCATTTCTTGTTTTAAAACAAGTATAGTGTTCCTAATGCACTCGTCAGATGCATTATATTCATCAATCACCTTTTCCAGACTGGTCAATAACGGAATCACAGATGATATGGAAACATTGGCTGCACTTAGTTCTCGAGTTATTTCTTCAAAAGGTTGTAGCAATGTAATCAATTTTTCCACAAGTATCCATTCTTCTGAAGTTAGTTGTGAAATTTTGTTGCCGGTGGAAGCATAGAGGCACAGCGAATCTTTATTTTTCAAAATGCGTTCTAGCATGTAAAAGGTGCTATTCTACCTCGTAACACACTCTTGGATTATCTTGAGCTTTGGTTGATTAAGCTTTTCTTGTAGATTAACAAGTTCATCTTGAGCTACGTTAGAGTGGTGAAAATGTGTTGCTATCTTTTTACATTCGTTAATGGCTGCAATGATCGATTCTTGTGATTCTTGTTCTTTGATAACAAGTTGAATTTGGTGCGATAAACAATCAATGTTTTTAATACTTAATAAAGAAATACCTTTTTTCATGTTAGTGCCACCATCTCTAACAATAGGTACTTAATACGTTTTCTTTGGGAATTCCCCATGATGACAACATAGTTTCTAACCTTGCCGCTATATTTTCTCCTGTATGTCACCCATCATTGAATACTTCTGCTTTCAATACAATCATTTTTCGTTCAAAATTATTGGTAATTCCGTGACAAGTGAAACTTATCAGCGACACTCCAGAGCAAGAGTCAGACCAGATATCAGTTGTTAATGCTAATTTTTCAAATGATTTGATTAATTCCAGAATTTTATCTTTTACCTTGCCGTATAATTTCTCACAAATGAAGGAAGTAAAATATTGCCGACTTTTTAAATTATATGAAGGGCATACTTCAATATCACAAATCCAAGACGTTCCACAAAACTAAATGGTAAGTCCTCCAGTGCGATCATTTCGCCAATAAAATTATCCAGCACCAAAGACTTGGTGTTGTTGTTATCCCAATTTTTATTTTTTTTTCAACGCAATCACTCAAAGACATTTTCTTAAGGTCAGTTTTGGTACATTGTCGCGAAGAGGACGCCAAAGAATTAATTTTAGCAGCATCTTGCTTTTCATGTTCTCTTTTTTTCAATAAGATAATGAATATGAAGATCATTTTTGTGTTTAGCTTCCAGGTGATTTCTCATAGCACTAGTGGTCCTGCCTTTGCGCGAGTACTTTTTATCACACAACTTGCAATTAACATTTTCAGCATCACATATTGTAAAATAAGTCCAAACTTCGCTGATGTGTGCTTAACTCATGTTTTTATGCCACTTTGTCCCTTAAATATCAGTTAAATTTGATAAATAACATAAAACTAACCTCAAAACAAAACAAAACTTTTAGAATGAACTTTCTGTGACTAAATTCATTCAATTAACCAATCTCGGCTATGTTCAATTTAAACATGGCCGACATGAAACGTCAAATCTGTCAAACATTTTACGCGCGCTTTTTTGAAATTTTAAAATATTCGCATTCGCGAATGTGAAAAATCCAACAATCGTTACATCACTAGCGTGTAGTGATTGTGTTATAGAACCTACTAGCCCGTATCATCCTGTGGATGTCGTAAGAGGTGACTGAGATAAAATGAAACAGATCATCTGATCTTCCTAATAACAACTCAAAATCAAAAATGCGTTTACATACCCTCCGTTTAATCTTAACGACTATGGTATAAAGCAATCTATGGGTGATGTGTTTCAGCAGTGAACTTAGAGAGCCTGTAATGCTGACGATACAAAAATAGTAATAATAATGCAGCCGTATTATAAACATGCAATGCACAATGATATCTAATGTTTCACAATACATTGCTTGGCGAGTTTGTCAACGTCGCGTATTACGATAGAACAAAAGCAGCAATGGTAATAGTCAATACAAAAAGTAATAAATGAAAGTTTACAGGTAAATAATAATAATAATAATAATGTCCTCCAGACCGAATTTCGACCACGGCGGCCTGCCTCAACAGAGGCTAGCCATCGGCGCAGGACAAGATTATAGTGCACAAGTGTATGCGCAAGCACAGGTGCACTCTCTATTCCCTCGCTCTCGTAATCCGATGGGACGGTAAACCGACATGACTGGGAGAGAGACCAGGCGCAGGGCCAACGACTTTACGTGCTTTCCGAGGCACGGGGGTGAGACACCGCCAACTTCCTGACTTCTGGCAGCTACTGAGATTTTCTTGACAGAAAAACTCAACAATTGATTTTTTTGCCCAACCCGGGAATCGAACCCAGGACCTCTTGATCAGCAGTCGCACTACTGCAACCACTAGACCAACGAGGCAGTCAAAAAAGGTAAATATCATAGTAAAGTATTCATCTAGATGTAAATTAGTTAAAACCATGATAATTAGTAAATAATCAACTCACCGATGAAATTTTATGACTTTATAAGTTAAATTACACGTCCTTGATGAGTTTTTACTATTATGCTGCAGTTCACCATTATAATAACATAAATTCACGTACGACGTTCTCCGCGCAACTAAATGACAAATTGGTGAAGCATGTTCGTCAACACATAATAGCGGCGACAAGGTCACGCGTCTAAGCGACTTCTACCGTCGCATTATTACGATTTCTGTGGTGATGATAATGATGATAATTAATGAACACTAGCTTAAAGATATATAACTGAGTTACATATATTTTGATAAAATAACGGCTGAGATCAGGAGGTAATACTTAGTCAAATAAGATAAGTAAATAACCCTAGCAAAAATTTAAACATCAAAGAATAAACATCTCAGTGATTGCAAGGATGAAATCTGGCAGCGATCACCGAATGGTGAGAGGCACACTGAACCTAAATGTGAAGTTAGAGAGGTCACGGCTAATGAAGTCAACGCTCCATCCCCCTCGTTCTCTAATCCAAAGCCCCGAAAACTTTCAGCTCGAGTTACGAAATCGTTTTCAGTGCCTGGAAGACTGCAATACAGTGGACGATATGAACGACAAGCTTGTGGAAATTGTCCATACGATCGGAGCTATATTAAGAGATACTTAAAGTCCTTTAGAATCTCTTCAATTCCGTCACCCATGGTGGCACTACTCCGGAGGCGTGGAGCAGAAGTGTGGCGGTCATGTTCTTCAAAAAGAGCAACAATTCTCACTTGAAGAACTATACCTAGATATATACTTTATTTTACCATGGCGAGTACGTCACTCACCTTCGATTTGCCGACAATATAGTCCTTATGGTAAAATCGCTGGAGGACCTAAGCACTATGCTCAATGACCTCAATAGTGTCTCCCAACGGATAAGTCTTAAGACAAACAAGGACAAAATAAAGATCATATGTAGGTAACGTCCGGGTTACACCTATGCCGGAAGTTGTTGGGAGCACTAAGCTCGAAATTGTTGACGAGTATGTTTACCTGTAACTAGTTGTCCGACTAGATAACTCCAACTTCGACCGAGAGGTCAATCGACAGATTCAACTCGGCTGGTCAGCGTTCGGAAGATTACGACACATCTTCTCGCCAGGCATACTTCCTAACCTCAAATCTAGATTGTACAACCAGTGCGTGTTGCCAGTAATGACCTATGAATCTAAGACGTATGAGGAAACTTAAAGTCGCTCAGCGAGCTATCTAGAGGGCTTTGTTAAAAGTTTATCTGCATGATAAATTTATGAATGAGGATATCCGCAGTAGTATCCAGAGTGACCGTCATAGCCCTACGGATGAGTAAGCTAAACTGGCAATAGGCCGACCATATAGCTCCAAGAACCGATAAACGATGGGGAAAAATTGTTTTCGAGTGGCAGCTTCGTACCGGGAGGTGAAGTGTAGGGCGGTCTCCTCACAAGAAGTGACGACCTGGTAAGACATGCAGGAAGAAAGGATGCAGGTGGCTCAGGACCGTGCTTTGTGGTATTCCTTAGCGGAGGCCTATGTTTAGCAGTGTTGTGAATGGCTGTAAAGATGATGATGATGAAGTTATACGGTCTTATTTGCCGCAAGCCTGTTGAATTCAAAAAACATACTAATTTCAATCGAGAAAATGGCTGGGTGCTACCCTCTGCTTGGCATACTATAATTAAAAAAATTAAATCCCAAGCCAAGCATACAACTGCAGAACTTCAAGATACTAGAGAGCTCATTCTGCGTAAAAATAAACAATTTTTAAACAAAAATAGCCGTGGTTAACTATGACATTGATACGTCCAACACCTTAGTTCCCCCCGTGACCATGGGTGCAGTAAAATATTCAAAACGTCGGGAATTTAAAATAAATATATCCTACGCGATAAAATTCGTAAATTTTAGTTTTATTTGAACAAGAATTTATTCCACCCGATGGTCAGTTGATAATGAGTCAACCCTATCCTGCATTGAGAATTAAAATGCAGATTCGTTGTCACCCCTGAGGTCTAAGATAACATAATAACCAGATAAAGATTCAGGACGTCACCAACCATAAGCAACACAGCAGGATTACTTTACTCGTACTATTTACGCTGGTATTCTGTTAGAGTGTGGTGCCCCAATCGTTCTGGGGTCATAACACTGGGTGGCTTTACCATGTTTAAAAAGTGTACAAACTTTTCCTTTACTCAGTAACCGGGCTGTCAGTGGATGACAACTAATGTTATCTATTGAACAAAGAGTAAAGTGTGCGTCATGGTAACATTATCTTGTCACCGACGATGCACAAAATACACTTGCTAACAAGGAGTCATCACACTTGACCGCTTTGAAGCATTTTGACGTTGGCAGTTCGGCGAAGTGCCTCGAAGACCACCTCGCGACTGACAAGGGTTAACTAGAGGTGCACTCAAAAATGACTGTTACTGCATTCAAATAAAATCTAATCGAAACGCACACTAATTTGGTAGGTTAGCGGTCTTTTATAAAACGTGTGACGGATAGTCACTTGACGAATTCCTTTGTACTATTTTATCTAAGAATAATAAATTCAAAATGCAGTCCATTTACGTATACCATTAAATCGTTTATTGAATACTTATCAAAGTTGTACTTATACCCTTTCGAAATTTAGTTTCACAGTCATGAAGATGTCAGACGTCTCGGAATCGAATGACATACGAGTAGAAATTTGAATATATCGTGCTGAGACTAAATTTCACTATTTTTGACAGGTTTGACATGAGAACTGTGTCTAACTGACGTCAGTAGACAGTTCGGTACTCGAGTTTTGTTTTTGGTATTTTCGAAGTGCATACATTAAATTGGCTGAGGTTCCTGTGTATGACATATTA